ACTACTACTACTACTACTACTACGGGCCCGTGCAGTATTATAAGTAAACATGTTTGTAAACTAAGTGACTACTTCAGCTCCACCCTCCCCAAACTGACATGTCTGGCACAAAAAAGACAACTCTGCCCAAGTACCCATACGTCTGGGGGCCAACCAAGACCTCTCTCCTGCCGAGCGGCAACGCGGAGCAGCAGCAACAGCGGCTCCGCCTGCAGCTCGCTGCTCAGCTGTGATGTCGCTCACCAAAATGGACAGAAGAAGTGAAGTTGTGAAGGGTGACCTGACTGGTCTGGTCAAAGTAGCACTAGAAGGTGGTCCCCAAATAGATAGGATTGCACGGTGTCCAATACATGTTCTACGTGGGGATCTACAAACTTCCATCTATGTAGGGGTCTATATAGAAGGTTCTAGGATGTTGAATGGCTGAATGTGATAAGAAGCTAGAGCTATGGTGGTCAAAGTAGGAAAAAGCTAGGACTGAACTAAACTCAACTCCGTACACATCAAAATTGAAGTGGAACCTCCACACGCTTTGCCAAGGACAAGTATGATGTCTGCAGTGCTGAAGAGCCCAGGGATCGAAACGATGAATAAAAGGGTGGCCTCAGGTCCTTCGAGAGTGAAGCAGGGCCTTCAGAGGCTGGGTAAGCTTCACATTCCTCCCAAATACGGTTTTTGCTCTTTCTATTGACTGCAGGTAAGTGAACCCTTGGTTTTGGAACTGGGATTGATCCCTGGTGAAATATGCAAAAACTCTTCAGGGCAAAGCTTCTCTTCTGGCCTCTCCATATGGGTTCATATGTGTTTAATACAGAAAAAACCTCAGTGGCCCAATGCCACCCGGGTAGACCGGCCGATGGAAGGTCCTTCGAACCCAGGGAGCCCCATCTCTTGAGCGTCTCACAGACCAAAGCGGTGGATGTTCGCATCACTTGGGAGGACTCACTGAGACATCGGGATGTCGTGTCCTTTCAGGTCCTGAGCTGAGCTCCAAGCACCCTCTGAGTTCAAGAGTTCTTGTTCGCTCATGCACCACACTTCCCGAACTGGTGGTGGATGGTCACGTCCAGGTGCAGAGACCATGAGTCGACACTCGTGGCTCAGCTGGGCCTCCCCACCATGGCACCATGGGGGCGATTCAGCGGCCGGAGCGAAGGCTGGAGCTTCACATCGCCGAGAGGCTTGGGGATTGTTTGTGGTAGGGGTCTTCCCACTCGCTGAAGCTAGGCACAGTTTGGGTTAGCTCGATTCAGCTTCTTGGCAGAAAGATGGACATGTTCCGAGCTTCTTAGCTTGTGGTCTTCCCACTGGTTGGGCTGTCGTTTGGCTGAAATATGCACCTGTGTAGATGTGACAGGCCTTTGGAAGTGTCATGAATTCCCCTCCCAAGCAGGGGAAGCCGGTTCCGGCTGCTAAGCTCCATCCTCCCAACACGAGCTGCAAGCAAGGCACTTAGTATGGTAAGACCTTGGGAGTCGACTGACCAAGTTTGACCATCCTTAATAAAAGATAGTTGTTTGTTAAAGACCGTTAAATCAATGGTGGATCGCAACCTAAGGCCGGCGGCCTTTTCTGTGTGACTTCGAAACTCTTTAGCAGGTCTTGCAGGTCTCAAGTCGCATTTTTCTTTGTGACCTGCAGGTCTCAAGTCGCGGTGGTCAGGTGGTAACCCCACCGAAAACCCCCCAGCTGCACGACCTGGGGTCCGAAAAAAAGGGGACCTCAACGCATTAGTCGAGTTCCAAAGATGCCCCGAGGTCTTTTCGGCTTCTTCCAAACCACGGCGAACGGCGGCGAACCGGATCGGGGCCGACTGCTGCTAGATCGGCCATTCCTCGACGTCCGAGATGTTCACCGATTTGAAGTACAGGAAACTCCTTTCCTAGGATCCACCCTTGACTCGGATCGTGATAGTAGTCTTGATCTCCCAGGGTTCGCTCCCTGGGAGTCAAAGCAGACTATCAAAAGAATGGTCTTTAGTATTTAGGTGACCCGAGTCAAGGAAGATGCTTTACTTCAGTGGGGCAAAAATATAGTCTTTGGACTTCTAGGGTATATATATATATATAAGTATTGTCTGCTTCTCACTCACCAGCCCATCTGCTGTCAAAGGCAATCCCCCCAAAGTCTCATCTCCCTTCACCTCGTCCCCAAGTCATTCCCTTTCGGTCACGAATCGCGTTGGGTGATGACCCCTCCAACAAGTCACGAATGGCCCTTCCCATGAGGTGATGTGTCTCATTTGAAACATCAAAGAAGAAAACACCCCGACACCTTCCCCTTTCAGAACAGGGACGCACCACATCCGAAAAAAAGAAGCCGCACCACCGACATGACCCTGCACCCGCCCCCGAACACGAAACCCACCGCCGGCTTGACCCCAGCGGCCTCTTGCAAGGTGCCCGGCGCGATGGCCGAGGCCGCATACCTCGGAGAGGGACTGGGCAGTCCGAGCTCGGCCGGGAACCACCGGGGTCTCATGGGCCTGGAGCATCTGACCCTCTGGGTGTGGAAGGGAGATCCTGTGGTGGGTCATCCCCAGGTGACCCAGAGGATGTGTCTTGGGTCAAAAGATCCCAGTATACCATGGGAGTGTCTGCCATTCGCTTCAGGGCAGTCGACCTCCCGAACGGGCTCCGAACCACCCCGGCCCATCAGCGCTCTTCGACCCCGCCAGACGGCGCCCTGCGCGGCGCCCTGCGCGGCGCCCCGCGAGGTCTAGGGATTGACCCACCTGTCTTCAACTAACCCCGGTCCGGCCCGTTTCTCGGGAGTGATCTCGGCCGTTGGGCGAGGCGCTGGCTCCGTCCGCTTTCTCCATCCAGTTTGGGAGGGAAACGACGGGACGGACGGAAAGATCGGGGGGAGGGAGGATCTTCCAGAATCTTTCAGGGGTTCCTTGGAGACATGCAAACAGTAGCAGTGTATCAATGAAGAAGCACTTCTTCGTTGAAACTGAGCAACGTATGCTTCCGGAACAGTCTTCGGGGTCTTGGATCGGAAGGGCGACCAACACAACGGAAGGGTGGTCGCGGGGCGGAGCCATTCCGGGCATTTCCGGGTTCGGAGCATTTCCGGAGCGGTCGGACCCACGCATTTCGGCGAAGAAGTAAGGTCCTCTCTCCCCCCTGCGTTGCAGAGGTCAGGTCCATGGATTCGGGTTAGATGAGAAATGAAAGTCTGGCATGAAGAAGTCACAGGCGAACAGCCTGAAGGCCATCAGATGAATTTCAGAGGCCCACCCTTCAATGGTCCATTTGTTGGAATCACTAAAACCAATTTCGGAGATTGTCGAACGAGCATAGGGACATTTGAACAGTAGAGACCAAAGGCTCATTTGGACATGCTTGGTTTTAGTGGGAGTCAGTCAGTCAGCCAGTCAGTCAGTCAGTGAATAGTAGCTCCCTTTTCCGCCTGCCCCCATGCAGGATGTGCTCAGTGAGCCTCACCACCAATCTTAAAATTCAAATCCAGTGCTGGTGAACAGGCTGGTGAAGAGAGCACAGCCGCAGCAGCACTTAGAGGCTTACACAGCTGCATCACAAGAGACCATGGAAGTGTTGTGCTAGCCTCCTTTCTACAGCCAGTACTCTTTTGGGGGGGTCCAAATAGCTCGAAGTCCCAAGACAGGGGGTGCCAAAACCGGTTTGCTCCAGTCTTTTGGGCGTTGCTTCAAGAAAACGACCCCATCCACAGTCTGGAGGAAGTCGGCTTTCCCATCATCCACAGGACGACAGTGACGAGAAGAACCACCCCCTTCCAGGGCCCAAGGGTGGGAACTCCTCCAGGCAGATCCATATCCCGAGAGTTTCGCTTCCGTGAAGACGAATTTAAAAATGGTTGACCGTCGAGCTGTTGTCGTGATGAAATCCTTATAGTAGAGCTATGGTTGTTCAGGAAAGCCCATTTAAATTCATGGTGGTTGGAATCCCATTCGAGTTCTGCGGTTTCATGATCCAGATATCCCCTGTTTTGGTGGGAAGATCGACCGGAATTGGAAGGATTATCAAGTTCGTTCGTGCGCCCTAGTCCCACCTCCTCCAAAGGTACCGACCTCCTGGCACAACCACCGAGTTTCGGAGGATTCGGCGTCCGGAGCCCGATCACCGTGCAGTCATCCCCAAAGATCAAGAGTTGCTTCCCTTGGGAGTCAAGGGAGCTTGGTGGGCTAATGTTCAGGAACTAATCTAAGAACAAGCTCTAGGTTCATCAAGGTTCATTTAAGTCATCTATAGTAATCTGGGTGTTCATCAAGGTTTCATACCAGCACCTTCCAAGTTCAGTGCTTTCTGGACACCTCTTAACCTCCTCTTTACGCGGCTATCTGTAGTCTTTGATTTCACCACCCCCTAGGTCTGTAGAGGTGGACCACAAGGACATGGAGGGAGGGGGGAGGTGAAATTCATCAGTGACTCCCCGAGTTTCCAATTGAAAAAAAAAGGTTCACCTTTTCCCCATCGGTTCATAGTTGCTGGGGACACTCCGGGGACACCCCTCCCCATCAAGGTTACAGTTCAAGGCTATCCACTGACTGGTGGAGAGATCATGAGTCAACATGACGATGAGACCTTACGCGCGAGCTCGATGGCTCATCCACCATCTTTGCACTATGACCGTCTGCCGGAGCTCCTGTTCTGATCCATGCTCCTGTTGAAGCGATGGGAAGAACTTTCAACCAGCGCCGTTGGAAAAGCTTGCACCCATCAACTCGAAGAACTAGTCTCAGGTCCCTTCTGATGCCTGCTCAGGCCCCGCCTCGCGGCCCAAAACTGCCCCCCCACCAGCTCACAGGCCTGTCACTTCAATCCACGCAGCCCCTCCATGAGTCTTCGCGGTAAATCGCTGAGACGTTGGAGGATGCAAGGGGGTCCCAGGAGGACGCAGGAGGGACCAAAGACTGGATCGATGAGGAGTTAGTTCTAGGACGACCACATTGACACCCTTCCCCCCCTGCCAGAAACCAGTGGAGAAGACCCTCAGAATCTGAGCTGTCGCTTCTGACAGAGCTGTGGTCCCGACGTGGGCGTGTTGTTGCGTGTTGTGGCGAGCTTCTCCAGGACCTTCCAAGTTCAAGTTCGGTGGTTTTGGACACACCCTACATAGACACCTCAAAGGGAAGGTCCTGGCTATCAGATGCGTAATTCATGGTAATTTGCATGAGCCGTTGGTCTGCACAATCTTCTTTTTCCAGAGGGTTTGTTTCAGGAGGTGTGTTCCCGGTTTGCTTCGGGGGCACTTGTATGCCAGGCCGAGAAACAACGAGCCTTGCCACAATATGCCGCAATATCAAAAGAGCCTTGCCCAAAAAGAGCCTCGTCCATCTCAAAGCTGTTGCTTCTGTTGTTTCGTCCTCTGTACCCCTGTGGTCGTGGTGTGGCCACCGTGCTCATCGAAAATGGCATGGCAGACGTCGTCGTCGTCCATCTCGGGTCTCCCGAGAGGAGTTGACTCTCTGCGTGCGCCACGGGGTGGCAGAGGAGCAGGCTCCTGAAAATTGACGAAGGTTAAGCCACTTCGCCACTTCGAAAGCACGTGTCTCACGTGTCCCTGGGGAGAGTCCGTCAGGTTGGTCGGACATCGTCTATGCGAAGAAAACGAAGGGAACACCAAGGGGTCTACCACCGAAACCCAAGGATCTTGCTTGAGACACGCCTAGGAATTCAGATCCCGGAGCCGAACCCTAAGCAAGTTTCTGGAACAAAATCGGTACACTCTGACGAACACATCACATGGTCATGTGGATGGCATGGCCTCTTGGAAGACGACTTTCCTCTACCAAACAGTGGGTTTCTCCACTTCCATGTGTAGTGAGTCGGAGTTGTGGGGCTCAAACGTTGGGGTATGAAACCACCCAAACCCACCAAGAGAGGTGAAGTGACCGTAAATAGGACCCGTCACCTGGGGTACCTATCGGATAGTCGAATTAGGGTCCCTCAACCTCTGTTGGCACTTGTTGAAGGCAAAACAACTGGAACCTGCAGGGCCCTAGATCCTATCAAAAACCTGCGCCAGCGTTGCTTTTCTCGAAAAGCTCAATTTCAGAATAGGACGTCCGTGACTCCTTGAGTCCAACCAATGACCGTGACCAATCCAGATTCATCTACCAGGACCTTCAAAGTGACCTTTTGAGATCCTAGAATGAGGTCACTTAGTCCCTAAAGAGGTCACTTAGAGACTCCAAAGAGGTCACTTTGAAGGTCCAGGTACAGATTGATCTACAGGTACTGAGGGTCGAGACCAGTGGAGAGTCTGAATCCTGGACATCGGTTGTTCCAACTATCTCTGGGTTCGGATCTGGGCTCAGCAGATGAGCGCAGCGCCCGGATAAAGTTATAAAGCCCGGATAAAGCACTGCTGGACCTCACCTGCTGTAGTTCAGCGCTGGTGGCTCCACTGTCTGGGTATTCCCAGAAGCGACTCCATTTTGAAATCCAGCGGTGAAACCACCCACCTGCTGCATATCCCAAGCAGGTGGCATCTCTCACAGTGGTGCTTAGGCCACGCAAGAGAGGCAAAACGAGGCAATCGAGGATCAGGGTGAGACTTTCTGCCACCAACTGCTGTACCTACAGTGACTTCGTCAATATGCACCCTCAAAGAAGGACATGCGTTGCTTTACATGCTATCCCGGTACTCCAAACCAGTTGGCTCACTGGGAGCGGCGGTGGACGTGAGGTGACCATTGTTGGAAAACTATAACAAGGCTAGATACCCGCACCTTTACACCACCAAGGGACCTCCAGCCAGGACACCCCTTGAAGGTCCAGGTATATACCCACCTTAAGCTCCACGGCTTCATGCAGCGGCTCCTACAGCCGGTTCTTGGTGGTCAGATGTGGAAATACGGAGGTTCCATGAGTGAGGTTTTCAGTGAACGTCTCTTCTTGCTTCCAAACAACTTGAGATGAAAGGAAGATGAAGCTCTGCAAGTTGACCAAAGACTGGGTAATCTCCAGTCCCGGCCAACTCATCCCACGGATCCTACCCCACCGAGCTCCCGGGGACCGTTGAAGCCCGTTATGGAGCCCCCCGGTGACGCGGTGAGGCCTCGCGCGATCGCCTCACGGACGGGGTGGGTGGAGTCTCCAAAAGGGCCGACGGTCGAGAAAACGGTCTTTCAACGGCACTGTCTCCGGAGCATTGAGCCCTTTTTGGGGTCGTGGAGCGCCCCACCAGTGCCCCCAGGGCGGTCACAAGGTTGGTCAAACGAACTCCAACCGTGGGACCCTCTGCGACTCCGCCGGGCGGTCGCTATCTGCAACGTCCCGGCAACCCGCACAGTTCGTGCCGTTGGTCGGTCCAGTTCCACCGGACCCCAAGGGCGAAGGACGGAAACGAGGACCGTTCAAGCGCGTGGCAGAGAAGTGGAGAGTGAGCATGGAACGCCCGCGAGCTGGGTGGTGTGCCCAGGAGTCCACCTGGTCGAAAGGTGATCTTCTTAGATAGATACCCAGAGTATCCCAGAGTCAAGGTCGAAAAAGAAAATCGTCCGACTATAATCGGGGTTATCATGGGTGATCTGAGGGGGAACTTCCTTAACTTCACCCAGGTCAAAATATATAGTCTTTCAACTTCTAGGGTCCCCGGGTCCGGGTTGGGGCTGTGAGTCATAGAACTCTGAAGACGACCAGGTTCACCGAATCCATTGGCTTTGATGAGGTCTTGATCCACCGCCATACCATCCGAGACGGTCCAACAGTCTGAACATGTCTGCCGACCGAACGGCTGGTTGTACATCGTTGGAAGATCCATAGGTCTAGGTGCTTCAGCAGCTGTTGGACCTCTCCATGCGCGCCCTTTGCTTCAGAACCCAACCCGGCGTGTTCGTTTTCCAACAGATGAGACGAACGAACGAAGCCGAACGAACTAGAAGATCTCGGACGAAGCCGATTCTATAAGCCTCATGTGTCTTTCCCAGAAACGGAAGAGTCGTGGTTTTCAGAGGTGAACAATGGCACTGGCACCCCTACATTTTGACATGTCTCTCTTAGACAGATGGGCCCAACTGGGACATTTTGTGCAATCTACTCTGAAACCACTGTATGTGTTCAGGGAAGGTCCAGGATGCATTCCAACACTTCCATCGTGAAGCTGATGCCAACACGCACACGATGTGCGTGAAGGTCTACTGCATCTGATCGCCACCAGGCACTGCATCTGATTCTCTAGTTCGATGTATCAACTCGTGGGCTCTTTGGCCAAAAAGACATCCTTACCAGTCACATGTCGGGGTGGTGTTTAGTCCTCAAGTGAGTGGAGTAGCTGGGCACCCCGACTACCTCCATGGATCGCACCCCGTCTTGTGACTGCAGGTATAAGACCCCCAAACCTGATTCATGTTCATGTTCACATCTGTGGGTCACACCACCAAGCCAACGCCGTGTCGAGGCGCGCCCGAACCGCTCCCACCGAAGCGATGGCATCACTTCGTGCTATGGCATCACTCTCGCCACAGCTCCAGCCACAGCTCTTCGATCCGAGAGAAGTGCTCAAACCTGTCGAGAGATTACTGAAGGCGCTCTGACCTGGGCCGTGGCCGCGGCCGGCGCCAGAACCCGATCCGGTGTGACACCTGGTTCGTCTTCAATGAAACCTCAACACGACTTCGGAACGACTTCCGGAACGACCATGAAAAAGATGGCCTTGACCATGTTGACCTTTTTGTGTTTTTTTTAGTGTAAAATCCTGAGTGGATTCTGAAAATGACCCGCCTCTTGAATTCATGGTGGGCCAGCAAGCCAAACGGGTTAAGACTTGGAGACCCACACATCTGCCACCAACAGCATGATGCCCGGTCCCGAGCCGAACATGGCCCTCCCAGCTCGCTCTGCGACTGCAGAGGACCCAATCCGAGGACCAAATCAGGGATCGGACCCACCTCCACCCGGATCCGTGGTCGTTCCGGCCCCGGTTCGGGTCTACGCGTCCACGGAGCCGGGACCTGAGGTTCACTACGACCGGAGTCCGACCGCCCACATCACCAGGACTTCGAGGAGGGGACGGTGACGGTGAGTCGGGAACCACGCGGCGACCACGCTGCCCCAAACATCAGAGGTCACCTCAGCGCTATAGATCCAGAGGTCACCTCAAGGATGGTGGACATTTACAACCCCTCAGCATGAGCTTGGAATTCCCCCACGCATCGCTCGGTTCGCCCTCCGTCCCACCACCCCCTAACCCGTGCGCCCGCCTGCCGTCGAGAGGGACGATGGCCGCTCAGTCGAAGTGCGCGCGCAACTGACCCACCGCCGCTTTACAGCGATCCAGGAAGTCCTGCCAGTGCCGCCGGTGCCCCGTTTCCAACGCTTTGCGGTTCGCGGTTCGCGGTTCGGTTCTTGGTCGTTTTGGGCAGGCGTCGCCAGATTGAGGCGTGAGACCCAAAGTATGGAGAGCTTTTGTTGGAGGCTTTTCTCAAGGAGTTTTGGGTCTCGTTTTGGGGGCAGGTCTTCATTCAGTGTTTTCTCAGGTCTTCTTGTTCTTAGGTCGAATGGCAGGTCATCCACCAACCAGTCCGGTGAGCTCCGTCAGCGCAACAAGGCGTCCATCTTTCGGTTGTAACTACTAGTTGTACCTGAGGGGTCTATTGAAAGGAGGGTCTCTAGATCTCTGTGCCATCAACCAATCCCTAGGGCTCCTGGCCCATACCCTCAGGTTCGGTGGTTAGACCCCCCTGGCACCCACCCTGGCCCACCGAACCGAAACGGAGGTGGGACAGGAGCCCTATAGGGAATAGTCAAGGGCCAACGAACCTGTGCCTAATCCTTCACCCCCGGCGATGAAGGATTAGTCAGCTGGCTCCAGAAGTAACCCTTCTCTCCCGGAGCCGTTTTGAAGGAAAAATCCAGAATTCGCCAAAGTGTTGCACCTGATTTTGACTGGGCAAGCCAATCCCCCAAGAAGGATTACAATGAAATCAGGTGATCCACATGGCAAACTCCTTGGCGAGGACTCCCTGGAAGAAGCCCCCGGCAATTACATGGCATGTCCCCCCCACATCCCGCATGGTGTCGGACATGAAGCATCCAAAAGCACCCCAAAAAGCGGGAAAACCCTCCATCCCACGTTATCTGGAATTTCTGCAGTTCGTAATGGGCGTGAAAAAAGACATGGCGATTTCCTGAACCTGGGAGACGCCTTTCTGCCAATCTTCCAGAAGCTCAGCCAGCACGGCACGGCTACTTTGGCGACTTCTTTTCCTATCCCAAACACTCCATGGGACTGCCATATATGCTTACAGCCAGGGGGGTCTGGCTGAGGCGGCAGTCTTATGGCAGTTCCATGAGTCGGGTCTGGGTATCGTTTATATCCTTTGAACCTGGCTCTGAAGATCGCACCGATCTTGGAGTTCCATTTCTGGGGGTTGAGCAACTCTTGGGCCGGGCCCCATACCAGCCACCGTTCATTCCATCGAACGGACCGGATCTCTCGTTGGGGATGGCTGGGATGGACTGCTTTCGGAAGCCAAAGTAAAACCATCTTGGCCAAGTTAGGAGATTCGTTCGGGAACATCGAAAATCATCCAACGAAACAGGATATGGTCGGGGTCGGCACCCATCAAAAAAGGGTAAGAAATGATCCCTATATAGGTCGACCACTCCAGCTACAGAACACCAGAGTTACTTGCTGCGTCTGCGGGTGACCGATGAGGCCTGGTCAAACGATCGAGTCTCGACAGCCATCCATCTGAGACCATGTTTGTTTCTCCCAGTGTGTCCAATCCAGCGAAAGAGAGGAGAACACATGAACCAAGTGTTCAAAAAGAGCAAAACATGTATGTATACAGATACAGTATATTACGGATAGTATACAGTTAAGTCTTCTAGATTGTCAGTGTCTTCTTTTCGTTTTTGTGAAGCACACCGTGCTGCACGGGATCTAACATATGTGTGCTTCTGATTCTTTGGAACCCAAAAAAGGTCACCCGACCTGCTCGAAGTGCGCGCGAGTGATGAGGCTGGCGACCTGTTCAAGAGAAAAACAGCGAGAACAAGCGATGCTGGCGTTCCAGGGAGAGTTGTGGACCGGGTGAGTGTTTTCGTTCGTTGTTCAAATAAATTATGTCAAGTCCTACGATAGTGTCTAGTTTTTCTTTGATCCTTTGGACTTTATACCAGGACCTTCCAAGATTCGGTGGTTTTTGGACACCCCGAATCACCACTATACGAGGCTATGGAGACATGAACGTGAAGAAATGGAAGACGCTTCCCGGCAAACTAACCATGGAACCCGAGAATTGACCGGTGGTGAAAGACCATGTTCCTCTACCACCCAGGGGATTTTGGGGGGTCCATGTGGTATTGAAGCTCATAGAAGAGTCTCCTGCCTCTACTACAATGCATATGTTTGCCAAGACTACTATGGTTGAAGTCTGCGAAGTTGGAGCCTGGGCAAAGACCGTCATCGAACATGGTTTCTGCACGAGAAGTCGCGTCTTCCCCTGACCAACAGCAGGTTGGCTGCAGTTATCACAATTATAGTCATAGTCTATGTCTTAGTGCTGGAAGTGGAAAGTTTGTCTACCAGCAGTCACAAAGGGGTGCTTATTGGAGGTTAGGGGTGTCTATGATCCACTCACTGGATGGGACTGAACACCAGCCAACTCCATGTGACTCCTGGTATGTCCGTCTTTCTTTTGTCGTTGAGTCACTGAGTCCCCTGCGCTCCGAACAGACCACCTCCTGCAACCACTGAGCCTCAACCAGAGCTCAACTGCAGCTGAAGGGCACTGAAGAAAGTCATCCGGTTCAAGGCCTTCTCGAAGTTGTTGATCTTAGCTGCCGCCTGTCCCGGACTGAGCTTGCGGAGCTCCGGTAAAGCTCCCGGACGCGGACAACTCCGGTGGGCCTCAAGCACCGACGATGTGCAAGGAAATCCTGGACCCTTCGTGGGACATGATGGAGTCCCCTCTTTCCGAACTTGGATCGAAACCTGGCATGTTTCACTTCTCATTCACTCCCATGCACCTGCTGCCATCCCTCGATCCATCCGGTCGATGGATTGCTGTCCATACAGGTCCGTTCGTCGCACGAAACCACCGCTTTTGCCCAGCAGATGGTTCGGCCTCTTCGTGCTGCTCAGCCAGCGGGGACAGAGGGAGAAAAAGATTCAGTGAGCGGGTCCAGCTGCGTCCGTCCGGCTCCTCACAGCCCTTCCACTGGTGGGGTGGTTTAAGTGAGAAACGGCGCAAAGCGGGGCCTGGGAAGGAAACAAGCCGGGCCTCAAGGAACAAGCCTGGGGAGGCCATGGTGGAGGCCAATGGAAACAGCCCCCCCCACAGAAGCCCGGCTTGCTTCTTCGCCTGGGAGACCTCCTCACGCTCCTGACACGCCGAAAACCGAGACACAGCGACGAGCAGCAGTGCTTGTCTCCAATGGATTCAAATCAGTCCGGTGCCCCAGGTCCAGTTTGCATTGGTCCAGAAGCTTCGCTTCGACTCAGGTCCTTTCGGTGGTCCTACCTGTGCCCTTCCGCATCAACTCTTTCGAAAGGTGAATCTGGCGGCAGATCCCAAGTCCGGATCCCGAAGTCCGGAATTTCGACCCACCTGGCGACCATCTGAAAAAAACCGGCTCCTGGCTGAGACGCTCCTCGAAGAGTTGCAAGACTGCCTGGGCCTCGTCTTGGAAACTGCCTTGAGCCTGGGAGCGTGACTTTCAGCGTGTCCGTATAAAACGGCATCAAAAGATCGATATTGTTTTTCTGCAAAAAAATTAGAAAACGTAGTTTTTGTATATAAAAACCCTCCACAGATACCTCTAATATAGATGTTCCATGAAGTTTCATGAGTTTCAGGGCCACTGGCAACTGGTATTTCAAGAATGGTCTTGAGGTGACCCGAAGAAAATTTGGGAACTTCCTGAAGGTAGTTGGTCAAAATAGTGTCAAACTGAGCAAAAACAGGTCTCGATTCTCTGTGTGCGATGGAAGAAGAAGCGGGAGTCGGGAGGTCGGGAAGTGCTTGTTTCATCTTTTTGAGCCACACTGACTCAAGCTGGCTTGTTGCATCTTCTGTGCTCAGTTGCCGATCCTCAGACAGTCATGTTGTCTCTCCTGCGAAAATGATGGCAGCTGAGGGACTGCCTTATTTCGAAGGCAACGCAAAAGCACGCTCAAGAACTCGTGTTTGTTCAGCTCCTGCCGTCGCGCAAGCAGTGAGACCGCCATCCACTGAGTTCAGCCGATGAGTTCAGCTCGCGACGGGAAATCGTTCTGCCATTCATGGGGAAAGGCAAAGAATGGATGGACCTGGTGGGAGGAACCCACCAAGTGAACCCTCCAGGCCAACCTCATCTTCCTCGAGCCTTAGGACTGCGAACAGGGACTCCCTCCTCAGCCGGCCCGGCCGTGGCCGGCCCCGATGTGTGTGGGGTGCTGGGTCTTCTCCCCAACCCGTCGCAGCACTCGGGATCCGAGATCCGCCGAGTCTTCTCCTGCCGCCCCCCGGTAGAATGCTCAACCCGGTCCTTGATCAACTGGCGCTGGTTCTTGTCGAGGGTTGCGGATCGGTGGGTGTGCGACAAATGGCCTGGGCGGTGGCAAGGTTGTCTGGGCGGCCTGGGCGTTCCCGAGAGAGTTGGGTCACGAATTCGGTCGGGTCGCACGTCGTCCCTGGCACGGTCGTCCCACGGTCGATGTTCTGGGCGCGTCAGAAAATGCGGTGGCTTTTGGTGGAGGTTACTCTTGGAGACCCACACCTCTTTGAAGAAACACCCATCGGCTGGGCAAGAGTATACAGTTGCAGTCACTTCAGAATATAGATGTGATGATGTGTGTCAACCGACTCAGCTCCTCGGTGTGATGTCGTACTTTTCATCTCCCAGCCCCCAACAGGTCCCCTGTATATGGCTGTGCTGTTCTTGGCTTTGTCCATGCGTCTTTTCCCGGAACATGAACAGAATGGGTCGACCTACCAGCGTGAAAACCGGCGAAGCGGGCGCCGGTTGACCCACATCGGACCACTGTGTCACCCTCGAGCTCCGAGAAGAGCTGCAGAAGTTGCAGTCAGCGCTGTTGCGGCACTGCCCGGCAGCGAAGTAGATGCACGGTCGCCGGCACAACTCGGGGTGGCCGACGCTGCCTGCGTGTGGGAGCCGAAGCGCGCGGCCAAAGGCGCCGCGTCATCGGCTCACTTGGTGGGGAACGACTTCATGAGAAAATGGGAGCATGACCCCAACAAGAAACCGGCATGAACTGAGGTACGAACTGAGTGGTCGAGTGGTCGAACTTCGGTGCAGTGAAGGTTGCAGGAGTAGAAAGGACCCTGTTGAAAACTCATTGTGGGTCTCACATAGGGCTCCGTGCGACTGGACCTTTTCCAACAAAAGAGGTGCATTCACCTGAAGTGGGTGCTGGTAGACAGCACCAGCATCCGACTTCACAGGTGACCACCATCTACGCTTTTAAGCCTAAAAATGCTACCATTTCGGAGACCTGTGTCTAGTCAGGTGCTGGTCGAAATCCGAACCCTCACGGGGCCAACCTCCGTTTGGGGACATCTTCAGGCGGGACCCGGGGAGAGAGCGATGGGACCCGGTAACCAGCTTCGGGCCGGATTCTCAGGGTAAAACAATGGTTCTTCAGTATAAGCCCTAGGGCTCCAACTACCTCCGTTTCGAAGGTGGCTGGGGTGGGTTTGGGGGGTCTAACCAACTTCTGAGGATATGGTTGGAGCCCTTGGGGAAGTACCATAAATCCTAGATCTTCCAGCTATGCCAAATTTATGCCTTGTCATGCATAAAACCAGCCAAGGTCGGCAGACATGTTGCATAGTTGGAAGATCTAGATGTGACTCGAAAAGGTCTCCTCTGGATTTCTCTGGGACGTGGCAGGTGGTGACCGTACTCAGTTGTTTGCTTCACTTCGACTTCGCCATCCGTGATCCCCTTCACCGTCCGACCCGAAAAGTCCTCACTCATCGACTGCCTCATCCGCATCGCCCCCCCCACACTTTTCAACCACCCGACGCCTGGGTTCGAGGTGCTCGAGAGGTCGGAAGGATCCGACTCCTCGGGAGCGGCGGCGATACGGCGGCACCAGCAGGGTCACCAATGGTGTTAGGGCCTAACAACCAACCCTCCATTTCGGAGACCTGTTGGAAGGTGCTGGCAGATGCCCCCAAAGCCAAAGCATCTCACGCTCCAACGAGGCTCGGGTCTCGCCTTCCGAGTCAATTGGGGTCTCATATGGGACTGGAAGAGTTACCCACGACCCTCCAAAAAGCATCCCAGGACCCTTGAAGGGGTGTCTATTTATAGCCCCTAACAGCCGTGATTCGCGGTATCCATGTCTACCACCCCCTTTTTCAGGCCCTGGTCTGAACACATCGGTTTTTGACCCCCACCCTCCTGACCGGTAGGGGCCCACCACATCCAGCCCACATGGAGTGTCTTGGGGGACTTGCCAACATCTCCCAACCTTCCGGAGGTCCGAACACGGAGGTCGGGCGAACGTAGACCCCTATAGCGGCTTATATACCCGCCCGGCTCGGAAATCAGCATCTCACCAGAAGAGCTCGGTGGTTTCAAAGAAGAGCTCAGCCACCCTGGTCTACCCCGGTTGAAAGGCTCCAAAATCCGGTGGTTTTTCCAAGCACAGTATACTCCTTTCAAGAAGCACAGTATGAAGTGCAAGGATCCCATCCCTCCATCAAGGAGGTCCGACCTTGGAAATAGAGGAAGGGTCGATGCTAAATACCATACGGACCATACACCTATTCAGTTCGACTACAGCCGGAAACGCTTAAGCGGAAGCCCCTCCACTCGGGTCACCGAACTCAGCATCATCGACTGAACTTGTAGAACTCCTGGACTCCCAGCGTAATTATGTAGACGTCTACGTACTCTTGATGTACCAATTCCCCTCCAAATGGACTGTAAAGCCTCTTCATCTCGCTGGTGAATATCTCAGGAGTCTACAGACTGTTGCTTACTCTCCATCCACCCGCTCTCCCCCCCCAGACCGAGAAACCCCCGGTCTCCCGGCTTCCACCCGGTCTCCCCCGGCGCCTCCGTCGATTCGGAGGGCGCGGAAGCGAGGTCGGCGCCGGCGCGTAAGCCGACAGCGTCGACGGTGCTCCAGGACTCCGTGCCGGTGAGGTCCTGAAGGGAGCGGTCCGTGCGCTCCGGTCTTCGTGGTGACCGGTGCCGGCACGGATGAAAGGGAAGACAGTGGTCAGTCGGCAAATAAGAGATCCAAAAATAAGAGATCCAATTAAAGTGAAACATCTCAAAACAATCCATTCCGGGGTCACCTAGCGGACGTTTTTCGCCCTGGCGCGATCTCCTGGTCCACACCCCCGCAAAAAGGTCCAGGTGGGATGGGCGATTGGGGAGAACTATGAGGAGCTGTCAAAGATGCAGAGGATCTGATGTAGACCAGGTGGGTGGATAGGGGATTGTGGCTCAAAAGGGCCGGCTATAGGCCCGACTCAAATGCTACTTTGCTGGCCCATCCATCTCCGCCAGTGTCCACACATCAACCATAAGTCATCCAGAAACTCTGCCCTGCCTGCTGACGGCCCTGGTCACGAGAGGGTATCTCCTCATCCGCGACCTCGACATGGGCACCACATCTTGCATGTGAAAAGAGGTGAAGAAGACCCCCACCGGTTGGGCGAACCGATCACGTTCTTACTCTTCAGAAACCACCTAAGTATACCTAAGCAGCTTGTCAATTGGTGGCGAGTGTTTGTGCAGCCGGCCCCAACACCGATGATCCCGGATCCGGCTCGAGAACGTGCCGGGATGCGCCGGCGCGGTGCCGGGCTCGCGCCGAGAACGAGAGCGGAGCCTTAGCGCCGAAAAGGCTGGGGAGCTTCTCAGTCAGCGTTTGCACGTAGTGACCATCCTGCAGGTGCGATCCGCGAACCGGCGATCCGCGGCTTCCGCGATCCGCGGCGAGGCGAGGAGGCGAAGGAGGTCTAGACTCCTGGTCCTCCGGAACCGACGGCTTTTGGGAAGGATGCCATGGGTGGCTTTGGAAGGGGAGGGCGGTCGTCGGACCGGGGTAGGTCGTTTTCCGGTTCATTTCATACACTGAAAGAATCCATGAAAGCCACCTGTACCGCCTGGGACTGGTCCGAACGGAGTGGTCCTGTTGGGAGTTGGTTGGAAACACCACCTTACTTAAGGGGGCCCAGCAGGTCCCATCCAAAAACCAGGTGTTCCCTAGCAAAAAACATGGCTTTTGTACCAGCACCCTCCTGGCCAGGCTGTTAGTTGAGGGTTGTTAGGCCCTAACAGGTCTCTATTGGTGACCTGTCGGAGGGTCCTGGTATGTGAAAACCCATGTTTTTTCATGGTTTGCTTCGGGCCCCCTGGGTTACGTACCACATCAATCCAGGCTTACGAATCGTGAAGCAGAAGATCCGACGAGAATGGCTTTGAGATCCTTGAGTTCCCATGTCATGTGACTCTACCCTGGAAGTCCAAGACCGTGATTGAAATGGTTGATCTGGTTTTGTAGGGTAAAACCTTAAAACCCTTAGTAAAACAGCTCGGTGGTTCCGGGATGACCCGGCTATTTAAAAACATGGTGGTTCGACTTCTTGGGTGATCTCGACGAGGGTGTGGGACATTCACTGGGTGGCACAAGTCTTAGCCTGGCCGCCCAGTCGGTCCCAACTGCCTCTAAAGGTGGGACCCACCTGATCTGCTTGGATACAGGTGTCTTCCTTCAATGGAAGCACTCTCCCTAAGCCGAAACGAGGCAGCCTGGCTGAAACGAGAATGGCTTGAGAACATGCGCGCTTGAACCAAACCCCAGCACTTCTTGAAGATGTTTTCCCATGTCGCACCCGCCCGCACCTGCTTCTTCTCTCAGGCTGTCGAAGCATGTTCAAGCTCGCTATGGCACAATAAAGTGGCCAAAAGTAGCGTGGCACAAACACCAAGACTGTCTTGGCTCATCAACTTCATGCTTCATCATGCGCACGACACCCCTGAAACCTCATAAGGGCCGTCTGCTCAGCATAGACACCCCCAAGATGGCCCATGCAGTGGTAGACCACTGGTCGTTCACGGCCCGACGCACGAGTGCGCCTGCTCCTCGGTGCTGAGAAGGTCTTGGCACATCTCCGGCTTAGGGCCTCGGGGCGCCACCGCTTGGGGCGCTACCGGTTGGCCTTGAAGGAGTTGGTCCCAGACGATGTGAGCAGGTAGATCCCTTCCTAGCTTCCCCTCCCTGAACCGTAACAGCGGAGGAGGAGGAGGGTGCCTGGCTGCAGGCCAGACATCAGAGAGTTTTGGGGTATGTCCTAATTGTCCGCTTGGCCTTTCTGAAAAATGGTGATGATCCTTTTATCGACTCTTGCAGGTCATTTTCCGCACGGCCAAGTCAAGATCGAGCACTGCACTAAAGTTCCGACTTCAGAGCCAGAGATTGATCCGCCTTTTTACATCCTGTTCCGCCTGTTCGCTTTGGAGTAGTAAAACGTTCACCAACCCCCCAAAATAAACGCTTGGGCAGGTCCACTGAAGCAAGAAGAAAAGCCACGTCTTCCTCATCGTTCCCATCTCCGAGTCCCACTCGCCCGCATGGGGGTCGGGCACCTCCAACTCGCCGCTCCGTTCCGACGAGTCGATCGCGCCCAACGACATCAGCGACCGGACGGGCGTCCCCGGCGAGATGGCAAGCTATAAGACCGGCGGAGCGTGGCGGCTTGGCGTTCAAAGTCCACCTCCTGGCGCCGTAGTTCTGTTCCACGGAGGACCCCAACACGTAGCACGGTGCGCGCTACGAAGCGCAGGAACGACCGGTAGCACGGGTAGCACGGCGATGGTGTGAAAGGTGGGTGGGCCACAAAGACGAAGCAGTGGTTTCGGTGGAGGCGGGTGGAAGAGATAGTGGTTTCGGTCCCCAAAGGTAGGATGATTTGATATACCCAGACACTCCTGGATATGGAGGGGTCCGGTCCCTCAAATCCCGATGGTTTTGAGGGACCGGTCGGGCTGTTTGGAACGTCTGGGTATGCTGTTTTAACCGGTAGTCAAGAAAGTTCCTCTTCGGGTCAATTGAAATCTATCAAATTCTATCTGACACGATGAAACCTCTATCAAATGGAAAATCGTCCCAAAAATCCAGACATACATCTGGAGAACTGACGTGCTCCAACCCCCCACGTAGCGGTGCTGACTCTGGGTCTCAGTGGCTCCACCAGCATGACCATGGTCGCGTGGCGAAACCCTTTTCGGGGTCGACCAATCTGTTCCTAGAGCTCATTTGACCTCTGTTTTGATAGGAAAAGACCTTATTTTGGGTGGTTGGTGATCCAAAATAGAGGTCATTCAGGTTCTAGGTTAATGTTTGTTGAGACTGAAAACTGGACCAGTCCTCTCTTTCAAACCCTTAAAACCTTAGCCAAGGCGCGCCACGAGTCACCTCAAGGGGCGGGGCCACGTTCCAATGCCAAACTCACGAGTCACCTCTCTACTGGGCTTTCGAGACGCAGACTGCAGGTCTGCTGCAGACTGACAGCCACGGCCATGGGCCGTGCCGCTTCAGCGCTTCAGCGCTGCTGCCGCGAGCGATCCCGTGAGAAGAGGATCCCGTGCTTCAGCTTCCGATCTGTACCGTCCTCTACTTCCCCTTGACCCAAATTCTGCCTGGGGGGCCAAGCTGGTGAATCACATCCACCCGCCCTCCCAAGCTCCCACTGCTTCCACCCCACTTCTTTCGCCAATTTCGCCCCCCTCGGATGAGAGAACGGTTCATTTGACCCCCAACGTCTAACTCGAATTCAGAGAACGGTTCGACCCCGTCCTCCAAGACATTGATGAAGGTGAACTTGTACTCGAGGGACATTGACATTCTGGAAGTGTCCTGACGACCGCGCCGACGTTTCGTGTCCTCCAAGAACCCCGACCGGCTTGCTGAAGAGGGCTCGACCCGGGCGTCGACCGCGGTGACATCGACGGGGAACGCGGTGGAGAACGAGCCGAGGTTGGGTTTCACCGGCCGTTGTTCCGCGCCCAACCAAAACCGATCGGAACCCGGCGTTCCCATGAAGTCTAAGAGTGTCATGGGGCACGCGGTCTGACGGTCTGGGCACGGCATGATGTGGTATGCCGTGTTGGTTTGTTGCTTGGTCTCTAAAGCTGAGTTTGAACAGAAAAATAAACATGGAGAGTCTCCAATGGTTTTGCTTGGACTGTCTGTTTGGACTGTCCTGTCGGTGGAGCTCAAAGCGGCTGACGAAGCGGGTGCACCGTGAGACGACCCAGTCCAACTGAAGGGAGAAACCCCGACTCAACCGAAAAAGGGGGATCGAAGGTGGGTCGACACATTGAAAGTAAGAAGCGAACGTAGAAACAAGTGCATCGCTACTATAGTAACAAGTGCCTTACTAGTAGTAACAAGGACGCTATTAGGAACAAGTGCAGCCAGGAGTCACATGGAGGCCAGGGTGGTTTTGTTCGTCCCATCCAGGGGCCGTGGATGTGACAGGGGGACCCCTATCCTTCCTCCGTTCGGAACCGGCACCCCGTCTTGTGACTGCTGGAGTTCGTCTGAATCGAAGGAATTAATGATGCTGTCTTCGTGGTTGAAAGAACCGGACACTGAAGATCCACGGGACACTGAAGATCCCTTCTGTCTGTTCACCTTCCAAAGACCCTCCGAAGTCCCTTTCCTTTTGACCCTCAAAACAACAAACCACCTACATCCACATACCACCAGATTCTGCTCTGATCCTCACCCTTCAGAACACCGACGAAACTCGACACGACGCCGTTGGGTTCTGGAAACCGCGCCTGAAGGGAAGGTGCTGGGACGTGCAAGGGAAAGACTGGAAGGGACCCGGCGGGGACGGGTTTGAGCTGATCAGATGGGTTGCGGGGACGGTTGAGCGACCTGGTCAGTCCTTGGCAACGATCGTCTGTGATATGTCAAAGCCTTCGTAAGACAATCCTGCCCTAGGAAGGTACGACTGGACCCTCCAAACCTACATAGCGGTGTCTCCAATCACCTGCTGAGAAGGTACTTGGATCCCTAGGGCTGGACCATCCAATGGACATCTGGAAAGCAGTGTGGGGTAGTCCAGCCAGGACACCCAGACAGGATGGACCTGGAGATGGTTCTTTGGTATTCACTAAATGAGAAAATACAAAAAAAGTGGGCGACGACTTCTAGGGCCCAGGGCCGACCACCAGCACTTTCATTTCGGGGTCACCTGGTTGGAAGCCCCTACATACACTCTATAATTACCTAGAACCTGAATGACCTCTATTTTGGATCACCAACCACCCAAAATAAGGTCAAACTTCCTATCAAAACAGAGGTCAAATGGGCTCTATATACTGAGGGATCTCCAGACCGGACACCCCGATAGGGACGCTCCTGGTTCGCTGGACGAAGATCTCACAGAAGGCCGGACGAAGAAGGTCGTTCCATCCCCAAAGGCTTCGGTCGTTCGCCCGAGCCCATAACCGAAGAGGCCGGTCCGTTCTCCGCACCGCCTCCGTTCGCCGCGATCCGCGATCCAAGAGACGACGCGGACGACGCGCGGCGAACCGGCGAAACGACTTAGTAGAAGCTACCAGCAGAGGTGGATCAGAACCCAACCGTTCGACTCTCCGAACGTTGGGTACCCCTGGTTTTCCGGGTCCGAACGTGAAGCCGGTCACGTCAACCCTCTGTAGGTCTTCCGGAAGGCGAAAGAAAGGATGACCCTACCCTCCGACCGACTCGACTCGACTCGAGGACCGGACCGGTCGGAAGCCCGGACCGGCGCGGGGGAGGAAAGACGAAATCGCTTGGCACTGGCCTATGGTCAGACGAAAGCTTCATCGTCAGGGCGAGGAAGATAAGCACCATTGATTTAACAGTCTGAATCCCGAAGAAACCAGCTCTTACTACTAAATTGGATGTTTTACACTAGAAAACGAGATCAACATAGATCAACAAGTAGCCAACATCGTCGCACCCAACGCTCCCAGGGCACTCAGACGCACTCAGACGCGAAGAACCGACCGCGCAGCTTCAAGTAGAAAAAACCCAGCCAACTTCAGCACGACGAAGTGCTACAAACACTGCGGTGGATTGCCTGAAAAACCACCGCAGACTCGACCCAAAACAAAACAACCCTGGTGCCGAGTCCTTTTTCACTCTGCAAGAAACGGCTCAGAGCACTCGGCACGCGGCGCACGGACGGCGACCGCGGGGCTGGTAAATCAAGGCCCCGACGGTGGCCGGACTGGTGCGGGCCAGACGGATCTTGGAGGGCTGCGAGGAAAAAGAACACTCTCTCCGTTTGTGAACCGATCCGTGTGCTAACTTAGAGTTGGTCGGTGTCCGCGTGAACGCGGAGAAGCGGAGCATCCATCGGACGGACCGGGCGGATGGGGACCCGCCTTTCCATCCGATGGAGGGGTCGGACTGGCTTTCCTCTGGAGTTCTCACCAATCCCGGTTTTGGATGGTTTTCGGGGACCGGTCGGGCTGTTTGGAGCGTTTAGAAAGCGAAAAGGTAGGACTTTACCAAGGATCCTTGGACCCCTCGAAACGCAGGGGTCGAACCCTCGACTGTAGCCGGGTGCCTCAAAATCCTCGAAACTCCAAAGCCTCAGGGACTGAATGACTTCCAGTCCCCCAAAAAGGTGTCCAATTATAGCTCCTTAGAGGTATCCGGGATGTCCATTAACCACCCCTATCCGGGGGCCCGGGTTTGTGATGACGTTGATGACTATGTTCAGCTCCCATACTTTTTGGCTAGCTCGGATTTCAGCCCCTACTCATAGCTGGCAACGACCGAAGACTTTCGAGATTATCCTTCCGACAAAATCCCTTCCTTACAACCACATCGTGCCACATCTACTTCACCCAAACATGCCATCCATACATTTGTGTTCTACCTCATAAAGGTCCGCGACTTCATCACCATCATCATCATCATCATCATCATCATCATCCCAGATTATTCAGTCTCTCCTAAATCTCCCACGTGGGTGTAAAAAAGAATCAACGATCCGAACGTCCACGCCAGCGGCAGACCGTGCAGAACATTGCGAGTTCTGGTGGCAGAAGGTGGTTCTAACATGGCCAGTCTGCAAAATCGGGTCTCCAACACCCTGAAAGACGCTGGGGCGAACAAAAATGCGTACGTCCAGAATCGAAAACAAGTACACTCAAGCGTGCGTGCTTGTGCGTGCGAAGCGTGCGAAGCGTGCGTCGAAAAAGGCTGTTGGAAGGGAGCCGACCATGGTTTGACTCGGGTGACGAGATGCTTGAAGCCGACCGGGTGTCCACCAGCCAGGTGATACCGATCGATCGATCGATCGAGGAAACCTCAATCAACCGATCGACCAGAGGGACTCAGAGGATCTGGTCCTGTTCGAGAAAAAAGGGGACCAGGACTTCGTCCAGTTCTGACTTCGTCCGTTCTCAGACGAGGAATTCAAGCCTTAGTTCAAACAGAACAACCAGCACCGACGGTCCTTAAGGTCACCAATTGAAACCTGTGACGGGGGCTCAACACCGACCTGTTGGAAGGTGCTGGAACACGGAGAATGTGTTGACCAAATTGTGGACTTCTCTGCTTGAGATGAGGAGACCCTGACGCCCCATTCGAAGCGCTTGCCTGGCATGAAAAGAACGTGAAAAGGCTGTGAAGGGTTAAGCCGCTTCACAGTAGATTGGAGTGGCCGAAAAGAACGCTCGAATCCCAGAGCGGTCTGGAGTGGCACGAAGCCAAACGAAGTGTTGGAAATTGCTGAACTTCCATAGCCTTCCGATCTAAAACCTGAGTGGACGTGGTTTTGTAGTGTAACAGCAAAACCATGATGTGTTCGGTCGGAACCACTGAACGAAGTTCCTGAGCCAAGAACTTGTTTGAGTTCACCGGTCCATCAGAGACATACCCGACCAGTTCTCAGTTGATTCAGTTCCACAAAAGCGTAAGGTGCAGTGCGGCGTGAGGCGTTCGCGCAGCGTTTTCGAAGGTCGACCGAGCGATGAGTTTGGCATGATGGAACCATCTTCGGGCGGTTCAGGTCGCACTACCTGCATCAACTGGATGAAACGAACAGATTGCAACTCCAGGTTCTTTCCCAGTGATTGGTCTTTTTGGGGTCATCCCCATACAGCCTGTTTTGGTCGGTCAAACGCTCAGTTCTTCCGAAAAATCCACGGAGTCGGAGTCCAGCTCTTCAAGTGGTCAACCACATGTGCACCCGTCGCTACGTCTGTCATTGACCGTGAAAAATCTGAGACCCCCAGCTCTTAGCTCGGCTCCCTCTTGAACCCTATCGAAATCCTCAATCCATTGAGAACCTCAGGTCCGTTTGGCCCATCTCCACACGGACGCTTTAGGGCCGAGGCTTCGAAGTGCCAAACGAACCGCTGACCCCGAAGACCGCCGCCGAGGAAGTTGCGGGCGCTGACCACCCCAGTCCCCGCACGCCGAGCCGTCGCCACTCGGTGGGTCGCTCGGATAAGCCGGCGGAAGGCCGAGAAAGGGGCCGACGTGGGGGACGTGGAGGACGTATTTCCACCGTTTCTCCGCCGTGGGTCGCAGGTATTCCCGAGTGTTCCGCGGTGGAAGACGGTGGAGCTAAGAGAATGGCAAAAAAGAAGGCAGAGGGCAGCGGCAAGGTAGGAATCCACGTCTCCAAATGGCTACACACTTGCTTGTGGTTTGTATCCTTGCGCCTGTTTCCTTCTACCTAGCGCAGTTCTTGGGCCGAGGCAGGCTCAGGTTATTTGCAGCCCAAAAGGCACATGTTGTAAAGAACATTCAGAGGTAACATGAGGTAACCACGCCCTTTGAGTTATTTTGATCCTTAATTCGCCTAAGAGAAACTGCATTCTTGGAGGTATCTTGTTATATAAATATGCATTTGGCAGCTCTTGTCCCCATTTTGCAACACCATCCAGTGATGGTAGCACGATCCATCTCAGTGAGCTGGTCTTTGGTCTCATCTGTGCCCTCGACCTGACCTGCAGAGTGTAAGACCTGCAGGTCCTCGCGCAGACGGAACTTCCATGGGCGACACTTAGGTCACGCAATGTTCCTCAGCTGCGCGCGCTGGGGGCTGGGCTGCCATCTGGGTCGCCGTCTTCCACAACGTCGAAGCGGATCAACGGACATCGGTTGGAACCAGCTTGGGGACCCTGAAGGGTCGGCTTGGCGTTCGGTACCTCGGTTCCCTCGGTTCCCTCGGTTCGGCCCCGGGGCCCGGGACGTCCGGACGTCACGTCCGGGGAAGGCCGGCCAGACCGTCCGTTGGAGAGCCCGAGCTCGGAGTCTGAAGGGATGAGAAGAGATGAAGCATCGGTCGACCCTCGATTCGGCGTCGACCCCGAGCGTCGATCGTTCCGGCTTCCGTTGACCGGGATGATTCAGGCAGGGGAGTCCTCAGACTGGCCCACGCCGCCCATGTACTTCGAGAAGAAAGATCTACAGCTGCGAAACATAGAATAGCTGTATTAACAGATCCAATAGTTAAAAAATAAGAAAGATCCAATGGTTAAAATAAACAGCCCCGAAAAAAAAAAAAAAAGAAAAACGACCAAAATGCGGGTTCTGATGTGTTTCTTCAGCTCCACGTGAAGCGGGGTTCTTCGGTCCTGTCTCGGTCCGGTGGATCTCTGGGTTAGCTGGCAGGACATCTCAAGAGGGGACCCTAACACTCCAAATGACTCATTTTACCCCTATGGTAGTGGTGGATTATGACTACCGGGTGGAGTAAAATGAGTCATTGGAAGTCCTGGGGGAGTGACTCAAACGCTGGACCCGAAAAATCGGGGACATATGGGTCAATCCTCTCGGTTTAGGGGTCGGTTTCTCATCGCCCGGTTTTGAGGGACCGGAAGTAGGGCGTGAGCTGGGCCATGCTGGGCCGCACCCGAAATCAATGGTCACAACGGATGGACACTAGCAACCTCAGAGAAAAGAAAGGCATGACTTTCAGGAAAAAGGTTCTGACCATGGAGGAGACGATCAAACCACCCCAAAACCAGCGGGTGGTTGAGGGACTTGTGAACTAATCCACTCTTGACACCAGTTCACTTCTATTGCTTCTTTCTCTGCCAACTGAGCCAGCTGGGCGGGGTAATCCTCTGCCCCTGGCACGAGAGAGCGACCCATGGCATGTCCAGCGGCTTGGAAAGCCAAAAAGGCCAGAGCTGCTATCTGCTGCTGCCGGCTGAAGATGAGCTGCTGCGGATCAGGCTCTGACCCCCGCAGTCGTCCAGATCCACTGGAGGACCCGCGAAGGGCGGCAAGCACCGCGAGCAGGAAGCGAAGGCCGACAACCACGGGTTCTGTATCGATGTCAACCCGAAATGCTGTGAGAGGCAAAAAATGTTCAGATGGCTTGTAATTCTAAACATCAAAGGGGAGCTGAGACAACAGGCTCTGTTCAAAAGCCCTAGTTCTCTAGGTGCTGGCAGGAATGCTAGAATGAACATAAAATCATTGTTAAAGACCCCCGAAAGCAGGATTTGGGAAGAACACCCACTCTCCGACTAATGATCGAAACATTCCCTGTTCGTTCAAGTGATCCTGGGGATCCATGTTCGGTCATAAGCTTCGCCTCAAAAAGGGTTCAGCTGGTTTCATCGTCTCAAATCCTTGATGGTGCTGGGAAGATCTTGGAAGGCTAGCGTCATGTGACAATTCTACAAACACCACCTGCTTCGTATAGAAGCTGACGCTTCGTATAGGCCGTAGGTTGCGGACCCGGAAGGCTCAGACCGAAGATTCAGAGGCGCTACCTGGGCCGTGGCTGACGCTTTGACATGCAGGCAGGGCAGCTACCCGCGATGTCCGCTGTGTGCTGTGACCGGATCTTCCAAGAACGGGCAAAAACCGATGGAAAAACCAGCCCAACTCTCCCGGTGTCGGGCTCCGGACGCCGGGAAGGCCGGAGCGGATGGATGCCGTTCGCCGGATGCTTTCGGACTCGGAGACGGTCGGACGTCGGTCTGGGAGAACAGGACGGTTCTTCCGCTACCATCGAAAAGGGAAACCGAGAGAGTGGTCCTTCCCGAAGGTCGAGGCATCCCTTTTTGGGAGGATGAAAGAGGTGTGGCGACGGTGACAAGGTCTACGACCTGTGACCTGTATGTTAGAAAAGAAACATACATGAGCCATCCAAAGGCGTTTAAAAAAACAAAAATATCAAAAACCAGAACCCTCCAACAGGTGTGGTGACAGGTTCAGTGCCCAGATACCACTGAAAAATAGGGTCTTAAAACAGCCCAAACAATACAAGGCATGGCATTCATCCCTCCAAAAGGCCACGAAGGAGCACATACGTCTTTCGATTGGGGCGAAGTCCAGGAAAACTTGTGGCATGAAGAGATCCGACCGAAAAGGTCTGAATTGAGGTATCATGCCACGAACATATCATGAACATCAAAATTGGACACCATGCGCTGGGACATCATTGATGCCACCAGCTAGAAATCATAGCGCGGGTGGTTCTTCTCTTCATCGCCGAGAACTGATCTGCGTGAGGATGTTGTAAGCAAAAGGACATGGAGCAGTGAGAAGACTGCGAGCATGTAGGCGATTTGGGGTGAAAATGACCCTTTTCTCATTGCAAACACAGGATCACAACTGGCTGGTTGAAAATGGGCGGAATTGAACCACTGAAAGTTGAGCCATTTGTTTCCTGTTATCGAAGTTTGAGGTTTGAGCAACCCACTTGGCTAACCAGTCCTGACTGATCAGTTGGGGCCTGACAAACCATTCATCATCGCCCCACCTTTCTTCTCTCCAAGTGGCTTCTGCCATCAGCAACACCGATGGCCAACGCAACGCCGCTCGGAGCAGTGCTTGCTCAGTTGGAAGGGAAGGGTGCCATGCAGGTCCGCTGAGAGCAGAGCATGGCCATGCTCTTCTTTTTCCGCGCTTAATCGAAGTACTGACGCAACTTGCCCACCGTCTTCTTGCAGCGATCCAGGAACTCCTGCCGGAGGGGGTGGGGCCCCGCAGCCCCCGCTGGTCTTTTCAGACTACGGCCGCTGTTTCAGGGGCCCTTTCGCCGATGCTCCGCAGCAAAAAGATTACACAGGTTGACCTGGCTGTTGTAGCGGAAAGTTTAGAATCCTTGGTTAGGTTGTTCGGCCAAACAAAATAAAACAAGGGCTCCGAATGCAAGGGTGTCACCAGAAACCCCTGCGACGAACTACGAACGCGTCCAGTCGGATTTGACTGAGTGTTTAAAGAGCACGATTCGAGGAAATGAAAAAGATCCCTGCAGGTGTCGGCAATGAAAAAGATTCGAGGAAATGTCCATGGATTCTTCCCATGACAATCTTAGCAGATTGGGTGGTCGGGCGTTGTGCAAAAGCCTATCCTTACAGTTGAGACTGGCACAAAGCTGGAGCCACTCTGGCAGCAAGATCTAGACAGCACAGTGGATCTGGACTCATGGTAGCTAGGGCGCCCCGAGACCCGATTGACCCACGTGGGGCAGACTTACAAAAGAGAGTCAGTCAGCATTGATCAAGGTCTTGAAAGGCACAAGTGGCGTGGCCGTTTTTGCGTTTTGGGAACAAAAAAGCCCACACCAAGAAGAAAGAGAGGTCGCTCCGCATGGTGGGACTGACCAACAAAAAGGAGGTCACTCTGGGCCGTCCCACTTCCAACGCCCCCGAACCTGCCGAAGCCGTTCGAATCGGTCCTTCTCGAACTGCGCGCGAGTCGTCAGGCTGGCGACCTTGGACATCTCTACTTGATCATCCTGGACCGGGCCTATACCCTACGTCAACAGCTCTCCAGACACACTGGAAGTGCTAGAAGCGGTGAGCCGGACCGCTCAGCATCGATCTGCTGACACCACCAACCGGATCTGCGGTCTCAAGACCTGTGGATCTGTGTTTCGATCACCTGGGAACTGGGAAGACCTCCCAAAGGGGTCCTCCACCGTGGCCGTGGGAGTGATACCGGAGATGGCACTCTCCAGCGGGGTCAGGGGATCAGACGCACCATCAGACGCTATAGCTGTATACTATCAGGTACAGCTACGATGTTGGGGAAGAGATGCACATGGAATCTGATGGCATGATCCTGCAAAGAAGACCATTTTCCTCGGTTTTCTGGTTCCAATGCTGGGTCTCTTTCAGAATGGAGGTGTCAGGTACCATATACCTGCCAGCTAGTTTGTCCTGCTCCGGGTGTTCTTTGATGTGCCGCAAAAGAGCGAGTCGCATGCTTGTGCATCTCATGTGCTTCGTGCAGCATCCAATGGACAGTTTCCAATGCGTTGCAAAAACAAGATGCAGTGGCTGAAAACCTATCAGCTTAGGCTTCAATCTAAAAAAAATAACTACGAGGTAAGTCAAACTCGTGGTTTTTGGGGGGCTGCTGAAACTCTGTCCATGGAAATGAATCATGGACCCTTGGATGCCAGAGCTGGAAAGCGAACTTTAAAAAAGCTTCGCACACCGCCCAAAACCATCCAAACTTATCCAAACCGCCAGATCCCATCCCTAACCCCTAGAACAAAATTCCTGAAGGAACTCATCCCCAATCTCTTTTTGGTCTGTACCTGCCAAAAACACATTACTGGACCAAACTGCCAAAAGAAGAGATAACCCAAAAGTCACCACTTTCTCGCCCCATCGCCCCCCGAGCGCTTCGCATCGGCGCGGGTCGGAAGGCGCGCGGGGAGAGACTCTCCCGGCCGCCGGAACAGCCCAGAACCCAACAAACGAAGGAACTTCTCTTCCAAAGCAAGGGACGCATTCCGTTGGGCCTTCCTAAGAGCGATTCCTTGTCCCAAACATCTGCCAGCCCGAAGCGAGCGAAGCCTTCCGGTGTGCCACGACCAAACCGGTCACCGTTTCACACCAACACGGTCCGTTGCCCGCGGCTCGCGCCGGGGGGCGCTGAAGAAGGTCATGCGGTTCAGGGCCCTCTCTAAGTTGCTGATCTTCGCCAAGCCCTGTCAGTGCCGCGATGACGCGCGCGCGGGTCATCGGGCGCGCGGCGCGATGACTCGGGCGCGGTGCTTGGGGAACTGGCGGAGCAACTGGGTCGGAGCCCGTCCGTCCCTGGGGTAGTGGGACCAGAGGACCGGTTTTTTAACACTTACACTTAGTAGGTTTGGAAGCCACGGAAGACAGGGAAAGCGACCATCCAGCGTTCATCATGGAACCAGAGCTTCATGGTGTGAGCTTCAAGAACCATTGGTAAAGAAACCTAAATCGTCGACTTCGCGAGGCCAAGCTGTGAGGGTCCAGTTCTTTCACCTCGCTAGGACTCGCCGCGTGGGCGGCTCCGCCCGGAAGGCCTTGGAGGCTTCGGCGGGAACGCCCTCCTGGCGGACGTGCATGGGAGAGTCGACGCACGCACTATCATGGCACTTCGAAACCAAGGTCCAAGAGGAAGGGCCTCTGGATCTCGCTGAACCTAGATCCAGAGGCCTCCTGGCAGAAGGGCCTTCCAAGATTCGGCGGTTTTTGGACACCCCGAATTATCACTTCTAGAGGCTATGGACATAGACACCTCAAACGGTGTCGGTCCTGGTTTGGAGTAGACCCGTTGCTTCAAGAGATCCAGAGGCCCCCACTGCCGAACGACACGAGAACGAGGGACCAAGCGAGGCCCCTGGTGGGACCTCTCCCGTCATAGGGTCTCAGGCCTCCCATTTCGTTGATTCAATGTCTTCAAAAACTGTGAAATGGAAGAATTCCACCTGAAAAGTCCGGAGGAGTTGATTCATGAAATGATTCTTGGTTTCACTGGCCGTTGAAGGAGAGAAATCAGCTAAAAGTAAGTGGATTATAGTGGATTCTCATCTCATGTATCATTATGTACTATATTATGATGTTCCTTCCTGGGGGACAAAAGGGGGTGTTGCCTTCGTTTCGCTGCAGCCCGGATCCTCAAGATCGTTCTCAAACGTCTCCGCTCCATCCACGCCCTTCGAAGAGGTGAGTCCGCTCAGGTCGAAGTGAAGCAACAGCATGCAGTCGGTCATTGGGAATCTCTCGTGGATTTGCCTCTTCCGGAAATGAAACTACATCCTTCCCCAGGCCACCAGATGGACCCAATTCGGGACAAATAGGGTGACTTCTTGAAGCAAAACCACCACCTTGGGCAAGCAATCTATGTAAGGAACACTGTAAGCTCTTCCCTGAACGCAAATCTCCCTTGCTTGAGCCGGTATTCACAGCTGGTCACTGCGATATTCATGGCTTCTCCGCCTCCACAGCCTCCCAAGCCAGCCTTCACAGCCTCCCCCGTCCAAAACCGCGCACCAAATCAGCACGCCACGTTTCAAAGCTTCACCCTCCGACCGGTGCCTGTTTCACCCCCGGTCGCGTTCGCCCCACCCGCACCTGACGGAGGCGTTCTTCGAAGAGCTCCAAGAGCTCCTGGGCCTCGTCCTCGAAGCTTCCCTGCACCTGGGTGGGACCGAGCAGACAGCCGAGCGGCCGCTGGCGGCCGCTCCGGTGTGTTTCAACTGGAAGGGGATGGATGTGACTAGCATGGTCGCCTCACCTCGAACGGGGGATGTTTTTCTTCAGTGCTGGATGGAAACAGTGATGGAAACCCACCACTTATACATGCAGGAGCTGCTTTTTGGGGATCCTTGTTTGATGTTAATTTCAAACCTTGGACTTCCTTCGAGAACTTCTCAGCTCGTTTGGGCCTTTCTTGGGTGCGCAGGTCGTGATGAAACGAGACGAGCCCAAACCCCTTCAGGATCGATGACGGCTTAACCAGGCGCCTCGAGTGTTCGAAAGGTTGCACTCAGCCTCCACTGCAGTTCACGTCAGGTATCCAGACCCGATGTTCGAAGCTTCCTGAAACCCTCAAGGGTTCGGTGAAAATATATCTGTCTCTGGAGCTGGTTTTGGGGCCTAGGGTAAGTAGTACACCTTAGGGCTCCTGGCCCACCTCCGTTTCGAAGGTGGGCCAGGGGTGGGTGCCAGGGGGGCCGAATACCACCGAACCCGAGGTTATGGGCCAGGAGCCCTAGGGAAAGTAGTAGTTATCAGTTTCAGTTTGAGTTAGGATCAAAAGCGCAACCGGGCCAGGGCCCTTGTACTTGGAGACTCTTCGATGCTCCAAGTGACTGCCTTATTTCGAAGGCAACGCAAGAGCACGCTCAAGAACTCCTGCTTGCTCAGTTCCTGCGTCTGACTCGCGCTGCTACGAGAGCGACTCAGAGTGGCACAAGAGAAAATCCTACCAGGAAAGAACCTCATCCGAACGTCGTGATCCCACAAGACCGTTCGTTGTGCCAGGCCCAAAGGAATCGTTACAACGAAAAGTGTGTCAAAGGCACTAAAAGTGTGCCAGGCCCAAGATTGGTGGGCACCATGACATTTATGGTTCGCATCCTGAAAAATTCTTGAAAACGACGGATCGTCAAACATCTTGCAGTATGTGGGGCACTCGCCACAACACACTACGACTTTAGATTCCTGGGACAGGTCTTGTCGGAACTTTTATCTAGGACAACTTGAGCGGAATTTCGCGGACCTGGCTTGGGACACTTGGTGTCCACTTTAACAGTCCCCAGGGATCCAAGTACCTTCTCAGCAAGTGATTGGAGACACCACTATGTAGGTTTGGAGGATCCAGTCGTACCGAACCTGAGGTTCGGTACGACTGGATTTCTTTTATCAGCAGTCACAGTACCCAGATTCTCAACCCGGTCCTTGATCGTCTGGCGTTGATTCTTGTCGAGGGTCGCCGAACGGTGGGCATGCGACAAATGGCCTGGGCGGTCGAGCCGTTGGACCGGTCGGGGGGTCTCGCGCGCGGGCGACCGAAGGCGACTGCCGACACAGAAAGAGAAAAATCGGCGAATGCCCTTCGTGAAAGCCGAAGGAGAACTGTGCTGAAAAAACATGGGCGTTTGGGCTTGAGATTCGGCAGCAAGAAAATCTCTGGAAGCTTTGGATCCGCAGAGGCTCAGATTTCCGGATGTGGGGAAGACGGTGGAAGACATGTATCGAAGCTAGTTCGACGTTCTTAAACGAGAAAAAAGGACCATGAGGGATGGATGACCTGTGCTTTTTCTCGTGTTGGTTTTGCAAAACCAACACAACAGGGAAAAAAACCAGGGGGTCATCAATCCCTCATTCGAACCAAAATGGCGATACACGTCTGTCGTCAGTCCAACGAACGTTACTGCCCCCCCAACACACCGAAGCCCTTCGATTGTTTTCCACAAGCAGTAATATACGGTATATGTGTTTAACAAGTAAAGCTCCTAGTGTGGGATCTGACAGCATGCAACACTAGTGTGGGATCTGACAGCATGCATGCAGCATCCTGACAGCATACAACATGTACAGAAATGTCATTTTCGCCGAAGTTCAGCCCCCAGCAAAAACATGATCATGTTCTCCATTGCTTCTGGATTTCCCCAGATTCTACTTTACTCCAGGATGACTCTACTTCACTCGAAAACTCACCGACTTGGTGTTCGGAACGACCGGCGTTGGACGAACGGAATCGGAAGACACGGGTCGACGCGGTTTTTGAACGCCCAGCTGTGTCCCAAAGATCACTTGAAGTCGGAATGAGCTTCACAAACACACTGTCTTGTTCAACTCAAGATATCTGAGATCTCGCGAGAAAGGGGCCCCGTGAGAGATCGCGCCGTCCGTCAGTTGGTGATCACATGTGAATCACCACGAAAAAAGGAGAAATGCGGGAGTCCCGACCCCAACTGGGGTTCCTTTCGCCACCGAACGGTTTTTCACCGACGCGCTGGGGTTCCGTCCGTGCGCGTCGGGCTGAGCGGCAGAAGTTGCAGTCAGCGCTGTTGCGGCACTGCCCGGCAGCGAAGTAGATGCACGGTCGCCGGCACAGCTCGGGATGTCCGACGCTGCCTGGGACCGACTGGACGATATAAGACATTGGGAGGTCCTGAGGGGGTGCAAGTTGCATGAGTTCAACTGGACGATATGATATAAGGGCCCTGAAAGTGCTTGTATATGCTTCTATGTCGTCTCTTCTTCATCCAGCCACTGCTTAACAGGAGCCGTGGGGGGGACTCAGACACTTGCCGGCTTTTGTCTTGATGTTCAACAAAGCATCAACAACATCTCCACCCCCAGGGCTCGAGGGGCAAGTCACCTCCGTCTGAAGAATGAATATCGCAGAGTCAATTTACCCTCCAGTCTCCGAGCAACGTATGTCTGGTCGCAGTGCGAGTGGCAGTGGGGCGTTGGAACATGATAGAACTGTGAGAAGCCTATCTGAAGAGCTTTCACTTTCTGGTCAGGAAGAACTCAATCAAGAGAGCCTGAACATCAAGAGAGCTTCAACCTGTCCATCCTTGCAAAGCTTGGCACATCGACCCCTCCCATGTCACTCCATCCATGTCTCCAGCTTCTCCCGTCTCTCCACACCCAGTGGCCCGGGTTGTAGGCGCTTGAGACGTTGGATCCATCCGACTCCTGGATCACTTGGGCGGTCCGGTCCGGTCGGGGGCTCCGGGAAGCGCCACGAGGTCCGGTGGACCAGTTGGACCCTGCACACCAGTTGGACCCCCTGTGGACTCAGGAAGAAAGAATTGACATGAGGGCGGCTGCATGCGCCGCGAGGACATGAGGGCGGCGACATGCACGGGAAGACTCCAATTCCTGAAAAATGGAATTGTTGTTTGGAGAAGAACCTCTCAAAATCCCATGGGTTTCACCCACTGGTGACGGTATTTTGTCCGAACCTCTGTCTGTGCTATGTCTGCCCATCTATGCCCATAACGTACAAATACCTCGGCTGGTTGTGGGGTAGAAACTCATTGAAAACACCAACAAAGACCAAGAAACACCAATGGCCAATGGAAGCAAACCGCAAAATCTGCCATGCCCTAGGCTCCTAAACTTTGGCCATATCCACGTCTAGAGTCTAGTCACTGTTGTGTCGGACTGGCTCTGTTAGATTTCCACCCATCACTGTGCTGGTCCACGAGGCTGGATAGCTCTATAGCTGAGCTCTCCTCCCACTTACTCAGATTGATGCGAAGGGCCCCTCATATTTTTGAGTTTGACGTGTTTTGTGGATGTTCTTGGGACCCAAAAAAACAATCGCCTCCATCGCTATCCCCAAAAGTCTGACGATTGAGGGTGAATGTTTGGAAGTGGTCAAGTTGATCTGCCAAGCATGAAGATCCCAGGGTTGAGAAAATCACAAAACAAGAAGTTGTTCTGAAAAAACACAGACGACCGAACAGATTCACAGATCCTCCAAAGAAGGAATCAGCGCCATTCATGCCCTTGAACGAAGGAAGAAAAAGGACCCTTCCCAGCCAAAACCCGCTAGTAGCTGCTCTTTTCTCTAAAGATCGTAAGTCAGGATCTGAAACCCTCCCACCCCAAACCTCCTCTCCACCCAAGCTGAGGCTGCCAACACTCCACCACACTCTCCCCCCCACCCCATCCTCGCCTCTTCGCCGGATTCGCGGGACGAGTCGTGCAAGGATTCGCGGGAGCCGTCGCGTAAGCCGACGGTGCTCCAGCTCTCCACACCGGTGTCCTGGCGGCGGAGGTCCGGACCGCGGAGTGGACGACGGCGACGACGGCGGAGTGGTCCAATGGGCCAATGTCTGGCCGGTTGGGCGCAAGAATCAGTGCCAAATCCGGGAAGAAGCCAGAAATCAATGCGTGGAGAGATCACATCACTGATGCGACACCTTGTAAATTCTTGTAAGCTCTGACCCATGCCAAAACAGGGCCTAAAAAAGGATTTGGAATTCGTGAAGCATCAGTCAGCCCAATAGCACTATAGCAGAGCTCATCTCACCCTTCCTGGCAATCCCCAGGTTCATCCAATCGCGCATTGACCCGGGGGAGCAGCACCACGGAGGTTCGGCTGGTTGGAAAAGACCTCGGATGGTCGTCCAATGGTCACCAACTCGAACTCCGCGGTGCTTCCCACAGCAGGATGTGGGCCATGGGAAGACCATATGATATAGGTCCAATCAAAGAGCAAGATCTCATGGCTGCCCCAAGAGAAAGGGAAAAGCTGTTTGCTTTTAACCCGAGAGGGTTTTTTTGAAATGAATGGCCTGCCCCAAGAGGAAACCAGAAAGGATTGACTGCGTCCGACCCGGAGCATGCCGTGCCAAGCGAAACTTCATCTCCTGACGGCTAGAGCTGCTAGAGGTTAAATCCTCTGTGGCAGCCTGGCGCAGAATCAGGAAAAACGGTGAAAAAAAACTGAAAAAAAGAACTTGAGGCCAAGGGGGCGGGCGAAAGCTAGCGCTCCAGAATGGGAAAGTGGAGGGCAGCGAGGTAGGAAAAAACACGGCGCTCTTTTTGGAGGCAGGGGTGAAGAGTCCTTTATATGTGGCTCTTTGCCCGGATCCTCCTGCGAGAGAAGAGAGAGAAGAGAGACGGAAAGACGAGAGACAGAGAGGAGAGAGAGAGAGAGGAGAGAGAGATGAGAGAGATGAGAAAGAGATGAGAGAGATGAGAGAGATGAGAGAGATGAGAGAGATGAGAGAGATGAGAGAGATGAGAGAGATGAGAGAGATGAGAGAGAGAGAGAGACAGTGAGACAGTGAGACAGACGGTGAGACAGTGAGACAGTGAGACAGTGAGAGTGAGCGAGTGCGGCCGCAAGATACGCAACGCTAACCGCATGCCAAAGAGCGACGACAGGACGGAGTCGAACTTGCGAAGAGGGAGGAGGGAGGGAGGGA